TGACCGAATTTCCATAAGGGCCAGTGGTAAAGCATCTTGCCGTTTAACCCTGTGGAACTACAGATTTTTGCCAGTTTATTTTTTAGCACACCATCTCACCCTTTTATCTCCCCCTGCACTCTGTAGATGGTAAGGGCAGTGCAACATGTGGGTGACATGCAATAACCTGGTTTAGATGTTGAACAATTTTTCCAGTGAAATGTGTTCCCCGGTCGGCTAGACAAAGTGGCAGGGAATCCCTTAGTAAGGATAATGTGGCTTAACAGCATGACTGCAATCCGGACAATGAATCAGCTTTGGCGACATGGGGGGCCGCCAAACTAACCCGAAACAGACATATTGATAACTCAAATGAATTCATATTTCTGACACTTCCTCGCATTTGTACAAAATCAGGTTGCCAATGTAGGAAAGGTGCTTGGAGGCAAACCCCGGAACCCTTGTGTTGCTTTTACAGATTTGCCTACATTGTGGCTTTGACAAGTAACACAAGCGGCACAGTGGCGGGTTGCAAAGGAGCTGTGAAATGGGGAGCTCACCACCCCCGCCTTACTCATAGCAGAGACCATCCCCTCCTTGCCGACATGTGAAACACCATGTAGCAGGGCAGCTAGAGACAGGTAGAGTGGGAGAGGGGGGCTACAAAGGTACCGGTGGGCCATCGCCAAAGGGAATCAGAATGCAAAGAGCAATCCAAAGCACTCCAGGAGTCTTTCTCTGTTTCTGGAGCAGAATCCTGGAGCTGAGTGAGATGAGACAGGGATTGATGGCGTTACAGAGACACAGATGGGACCAAGAAACGTCTGGTGAAGGTTTTATAGTGGCATGTACGCTCTGCAGCAGCATCAGCAAGTGAATACAACTTGCCACCTCGGTGTCTGCTTCACTGAGTGGCCAGTACACTTAACATCTTTACAAGGCAGATGGGTATGGTAAAACTGCATACAGGAGGGCGGCAATGTAGGTCCATTCTTGGATAGGGGTACCAGTAGGAGGTCAGAAACCTCGAGCCTGGCAGAGGGTGCCAAAGTCATGCACAACCCCAAAGGAATACCGAGAATCAGTAAAAATAGTGGGCAGAGAGCCCCTCTCGGCTAGAAAGCAGGCACGGGTTAGAGCAATCAGTTCAGCCACCTGGGCAGAGGTCACAGAGTGGCTAAGGGCGCAGCTTCTATGGTCTCAGAGAGAGAGAGACCACAGCCGTACCCTGCAGAATGTGGCCTTGGTCACTTCTATAACAGGACCCATCAGTGAATAATACCTGGTCAGGAGTTAAGCAAGAGAGGTACATCTAAAAGGTCGGGGCATCGGGATAGTGATAGAGCAGAGACAGTTGCAAGGAGTCATGGGGTTCACTATCACTAGGTAAAGGAAGGGAGGGTAGTAGGGTGTAACCGGGAGCAGCGCTTAATAGTGATATGTGAGGGGCTGAAAGCACAAAAGTTCATACCTAGTGAGACGAGCAGAGTGAGAGGTGAGAAGTAGTAAGTTGCAGAAGGAGAGCTTTCAAGAATGGGGAACCATGAGAGTGAGAGGAGAGCGGAGGACAAGTGGACTCGGACATCTCGACCAGGCGCGCAGGCAGCAGCTCAGCAAGGTTGAGGGGCAAGGGGGTAACCCTGGGCTACAGGGTCCAAGGTTGCAGAAAAATAAGCCATCGAGGATTGCTGTCACCGTGCTCCTGAGTAAGAACCCCGAGGGCACAAGCAGATTGTTCGTGACAGAAAAGGGTAAAGGCGGTTTGTCATAGTTAGGGTACCTCTAAGGCAGGGGCAGAGGCTAAATTCTGCTGGTAAGGGAGATTGTTGGCACATTTGTTTCAAGTGGCCAGTGGCATGGGGCTAGGTACAGAGGATCGAGTGAGTTCTGAGTGGTTTACCCAGAGAAGCCTATTGGGGAATCCATTGCCTACAGAACCCTGTCATGCCTCAGAATTTTCTGACCTGCATGGAGGAGCAAGGCTGGGGAAGCTAAGGGATGGCTTGTACTCCGCCCTAGAGAGTAGTGTACGGGAGCCCTGGGAGAGAACGGAAGCCTAGGTGGTGTGACAGAGGTTTGGCAGAGCTGCAATTAAGTAGGGAAGCCTTATGACCCCTTGTTTTACTAAAGCTGTGTGAAGTGTTAGTGAATCAGTTTCTGAGGCAGACGAGAGAGGAGGGAGCACAGGAGTAAGTCGTCCACATATTGGATCAGTGTGGGGATCCTGATGTGGAAAACCAGGATCAGCTAGATCCCTGGCTAGGGCTTGAGAAAATAGGATGGCTCTCTGTATCCCTCTGGGGAAGGGTAGTCCATGTATATTGGTTGGACCCTTGTAGGAGAAGGCAAAGTAGATGCTGGGATTCAGAGTGAACTCATAAAGAGAGAAGAAAGCGGAGCACAAATCTACAACGGGAAGTGGGTTGCATTTGGAGGAATAGACGACAGTATTATAGCAAAGTTAGGAACCACTGAGAAAAGAAGAAAGTATTACAATACGGTCATTAGCTCAAGGTCTTGGAACAACTCACCACAATTTGCCATCAGCCTTTTCTTGGAACTAGGAGGATAGAGGTGTTACAGGGGCTGGATGGACAACACACCTCCTTGTTCTTTTTAATCAGATATAACTGGAGTGAGTCCCAGCCTCTGCCTCAGGATCAAAGGATACTGAGACAGGGCGAGGCAGGGGTTTGGAATTTTGTTCTTGTAGTCCGAACTGGGTCAGTATTTAATCTGGCCCCACTTCAGACGGGTGGAGATGGTCATAGGGAGGAAGGAACCTTAGAGATTATTGGTGCTCTAGGGACGGAGTTATGGGACAGCAAGGGACCGGAGGGAGAGGGAAGTTTCAGACGGCAGGGAGGCTACAGAATCCATAAGGAAGACTGAGGGATTTGCAGATAGAGCCACCATCTGGGGAGCAGTAAATAGAACAGCCAAGTTTGCATAGCAAGTCCTGTCCCAGAAGGTTTGCAGGGGTGGAATCAGAGAGGAGTGAATGCATGCTCCTGGGGAGAGGGGACCGACCTGAAAGGACAAAGGTTTTGAGAGGGGAAAGAGGTAGGGATCCCCTGTAAGCCAACAGCAGACACAGATTTTCCAGATCGGGAACCTCAGGCAAGTCAGTGGTGCAGATTGTAGAAAGAGAAGCTCCAATATCAACAAGAAAAGGGAGAGAGATCATGTCAGGACTCATTCTCCAGTAGGGGACAGAGGCATTAAGGAGCCAAAACTTTGTGAGGTTCCCCAGCATCCCACCATTGTTGGGGTGAAAAATAGGGTTGGGGATCAGCTGGGAGGAACCAGCGGGGGGGGTTCACTTGATTTCCCACAATTGAGTTAGGTCGTCTTGGACACTCTTTCTCCAGTGTCCAGGCTGTTTACAGTAGTTACAAACCCAAGCTAACCAGCCCCCAGCCCCCTTCCGCAACCCCCGTCCCTGTCCCCCCGTGTGGTCTGCTAGTCCTGAATAATGCTGTATCTACAGAGCCATTGAACTTTTGGGGTATCTGTTCCTCCTTTCCTTTTAAAGTGCGGTGGCAATGTTTGCTACTGCCAGCACTATCCATGGTTTCAGTCTCCCATCCCACACTTATTGCTTTTAACATGCTGCCTGTGGGGGAGAAGACCATCAACAAATGTATGTGCCAAGGCACCCCTGCCCATTTACATCGGGCTCTTGTATTCCTGAATGTTGTAGGAAAATATCAGTTAGCCGGGACCTCCACCGAATCGCCTGCACTTTCTCCTTGCCCTTGCTTACGGCAACGTGAGTTGCTGTCCAGTTTGTTTTAGGAGACCACACTTTGGGAAATGGTTTGATGCAGGCGCTTCCAAAGAGCCATACACCGGTCTCTGTATGCTCTAATCTGGGCCAGTACTTTTTATGGTTGAGTGGCGGGCCTCAGCTGGCCAAACAAGGGCAGCCAACCATTTTTCATAACAACTGGCAGGAGCTAACACCTTACGCATGCTGGAGGAGATCTGTCTTCAGAGGGTTCTAGGTTTCAGATTAACAGAAACCCCCAGCAAATTTGATAGAGTTTTTCCTGTGGTTTGGGAAAACTTTTAACTATAGATAAAAACTCCAGATTTCCAGGTCTTATAATCCCCATATGGACTCACTTTCTCCCCATCTTAAGGACTCATAAGGGTGCTACAACAGTTTGACTGATTCTCTCATTAACCCTCCCATCAGATCTCTTTTCCAAGAAGAGATGTCCAGAGAATCTTTGCAGACTGCTTTGGATTTCTTCATAAATATTTGCGGAGCTAGTGAGGCCAATGTGTATCTTCTTCACTTTCATTATCTGTAGTCACTGGAAGATTTTTCCTTTTCTGATTTCCTTATTTTGGAGAGTTGAGGATCGGGTTTGGACCAGATCATTGCACAGGACTGGGCAAAGGGGAGCGCTTGGACTAGTGGTGGGAGAGACTGCATCCAATTGAACTGTTAGTTTTTTGATGGGATTTTTTAAGAGAGGTGAGTTTTGACTCCAGTCCATCTACGATTTGCCTCTTCCCACCACTTCCTGCATGAAGCAGTCTACTCTCCTCCTCCAATTTGGTTTTGGGATGACGAGTTTACTTTTTAAAGCCGTCCACTCTATCCTTGTCCCAAGAACCTAACAGTGGCCACTGTAATTTGGGGTTCTCTAGAGCTAATTTGGACCATTTTTCAAGAAACCTGCAAGAGTCCGGGACCCCCTCCTAAAATACATAAAATAAGCTGAGTTCCCTTAGGGAACGGTTCTACCTAGGACTTCAGATTACCCATCCAGGAGGACTTCCACACAGCACTCACACAAGAAGGGAAATTCGGCCTCAGCAGAGTGTGTGCCCGGTGCAACACACAAAAAGGAGCCCACAGGCTACTGCTTCAACTGCTCTTTGCTTTCAGATCAGGGGTTATACCCAAGGTGGAGCGGTGCTGCAGCTGTGCAGATTCCACTTATTCAGACCGTGGGGACGGGGACTCCTTGGTCAGCCAGGTCTCCGGACAGAGATGGCTCCCAGACTCACACACAAACCACTGGGAAGACTGAAGACACAAAGACAAGACAGTCCTCAAACTGGTTAAAGCACAAAAATAATAATTACCTGAGATGCCTGATTCCAGAAGCTGGATCCAAAGACCCCTACCCGAACAGAGTGGGAACCAACAAGTTCAATGGCGTAGACTGCACTGCTGCTGTGTACCTTTCTGTCTTGTGGAGGATCGCTTGGACTAAAGCGGCCCAGGCGCTGGCTGCCACGATCGTCCTGCAAGGCAGTCAGGATCACACAGCCGCTGCCATCTCGGAGGAACCTCCAAATTGTCAAAGTTTGACTCCAGACTCACAATTTATCAGGACCACTCTGTTTTATTAGCAAAGCTGCTCTGCTAATACATTTAGAAGTGAGCTCCCCCGAGTGGGGCTTGTGTCTTTTTAATTTATACAGTTTTTTGGAGAAAAGCTATAGAGAAGTTACAGACAAAAAAGAAGAAAAAGATTTTAGTCACCACCCTCGAGATCCCTGAGACCAGTCACGTATCTTCAATTACCTGCCACCCAGAATAACCTCCTTTAACAGCTTCCAGTTAACTTAACTAATTGCCCTCTCACACCTTCCATTCTGATGCCTGCTTCGTAGACGTTATGGCTCTATCTTAATTGCTTTCTCCATTCAAAAAGCTAATTGTCCCTACGTGTGCTCCCTCAGATACTTTGTAACATGTTTTGGCATGCCCTCTCATATACATGTATCCACCATGTCCCCTTATACAACGTTATACTTATACAATGTTATACTTCGACACCCCCCTTTCCCGGGGGGGAGGCCCTGTGTCCCCTTCCCCCCTTCTCCCCGGCTGGGGGCCCCTCTGTCCCCTCACTCTCTGTCCCCTTCCTGGGCTGGGGGGGCCCCTCTGTCCCCTTCCTCCCCTTTCCCGGCCTGGGGGGGCTCTCTGTCCCCTCGCCTCTTCCCCGGGCTGGGGGGCCCCTCTGTCCCCGTTTCCCCCTTTCCCGGCCTGGGGGGCCCCTCAGCCCCCCTCTCTCCCTTCCCCCCTTTCCGGGCTCGGGGGCTCTGTCCCCCTTCCCCCTTTTTCCGGCTGGAGGGGGCCCTCTGTCCCTTCTTCCCCTTTCCCCGGCTGTGGGGGCCCCCCTCCCCTTCCCTCTCTCCCTGGGCTGGGGACCCTCTTTTCCCCCTACCTCCCTTCCTGGGCCGAGGGGGGCCCTCTGTCCCAGTTCCCACCTTTCCCGTCTGGGAGGGGGCCCCCTGTCCCCCTTCCCTGCCTTTCCCGGCCAAGGGGCCCTCTCTCTGTCCCACTTCTCCCCCCTTGCCCGGGCTGGGGGTGGCCCTCTGTCCCCGTTCCCCCCTTTCCTGGGCTGGGGGCCTCTGTCCCCATTCCTCCCCCTTTCCCTGGCTGGGAGGGGGGGGCCCTGTCCCAGTTCCCACCTTCCTGGCTGGAGAGGGGGGTCCTCTGTACCCCCTCCTCCCATCCCCCCCTTCCCGGGCTCGGGGGCCCTCTCACCCCCCTCTCCCGCTTTCCCGGGCTGGCGGCTGGGGGGCCCTCTGTCCCCCCTTCCCCCCATTCTCCAGGCTGTGGGGGCCCTCTCTGTCCCCCTTCCCCCTTTCCCGGCTGGGGGGAGCCCTCTGTCCCACCCCCTTTCCCAGGCTGGGGGACCCTCTGTCTCGCCCCCCCCTTTCCTGGGCTGTGGGCCCCCTCTGTCCCGCCCTCCCTTCCTTGTTTCCCAGGCTGGGCGGGCTCTCTATCCCCCCTCTCCCTTCTCCCCTGCCCGGGCTGGGGGACCCTCTCTCCGCTTCCGGGATGGTGGTTGGCCCTCTGTCCCCCTCTCCCTGGACCCCTTTTCCAGGCGGGGGGCCCCCTCTAACCCTCTCCCCTTACCGGGCTGGGCGGGCATTCTGTCCTCCTTCCCGCCTTTTCCGGGCTTGGGGGCCCCTCTGTCCCCTTCCCCACCCTTTCCTGGGCTGGGGAGTCCTCTGTACCTTCCCCTTTACTCGGGGTGGGGTGCCCTCTGTCCCCCTTCCCCACCTTCCCAGGCTTTGGGGGCCCTCTGTCCCCTTTCTCCCCTTTCTCGTCTGGGGGGAGCCCTCTGTCCCCTCCTCTCCTTCCCCCTCTCCCTGTCTGGGGGCCCCCTGTCCCCCCTCTCCCTTTCCCTCCCTTCCCGGGCTGGGGGCCCTCTGTCTGCCCTTTCCTTCCCCCGTTTCCCCCGGCTGGGGAGGGGCCCTGTGTCCCCCTTTCCCCTCTTTCCCTGGCTGGGGGGGCCCTGTGTCCCCCCTTCAGCCCCTTTCCTGTCTGGGAGGCCCCTTGTCCCCCCTCTCCCTTCCCCCCCCTTTCCCCCGCCTGGGGGCCCCTCTGTCTCCCCCTCTCCCTTCCCCCCTTTCCCGGCTGGGCGGGGCCCTCTGTCCCCCTTTTCCCAGGCTGGGGGCCCCTCTGTCCCCCCTCCTTTCCCCGGCTGGGGGAGTCCTCTGTCCCCCTTCCCCCTTTCTGAAGCTGGGGGCGGCCCTCTGTCCCTCTTCCCCCCCCTTTCCCGGGCAGTGGGGCGGCCCCTCTGTCCCCCCCTTCCCAACCCTTTCCCAGGCTGGGGGTGCCCTGTCCCCCTTCCCGCCCTTTCCCGGGCTGGGGGCCCCTCTGTCTCCCCCTTCCTACCTTTCCCGTGCTGGGGGTTCCCTCTGTCTCCTCTCCCCCCCTTTCCCCAGCCTGCGGGGGGGTCCTCTGTCCCCCTCACCCCTCCTTTTCCGGGCTGGAGGGGGCCCTCTGACCCCCCCTTTCCCTTCCCCCCTTTCCTGGGCTTGTGGGCCCTGTGGGTCCCTGTTCCCCCCCTTTCCTGGGCTTGGGGCCCCTCTGTCCCCCTCCCCCCCTTTCGGGCTGGAGGGGCCCTCTGCCCCCCCCTTCCCTTCTCCCCTTTCCCCGGGGCTGGGGGGCCCTCTGCCCCCCTTTCCCTCCTCCCCTTCCCCGGGCTGGGGGTGGCCCTCTGTCCCCCATCTCCCTTCCCTCCCTTTCCGGGCTGGGGGGGCCCTGTGTCCCCTTTCCCCTTTTCCCGGGCTGGGGGTTCTCCCTCCCGTCCCCCCCTTCCTGGGCTGGGGGGCCCTCTGTCCCCCCCTCTCCCTTCCTGGACAGGGGGGCCCTCTGTCCCCCCTCTCCCTTCCTCCCTTTCCTGACTGGGGGCCCCTCTGTCCCCCTCTCCCTTCCCCCGCTTTCCCGGACTGGGGGCCCCTGTCCCCCTCCCCCTTCCCCCGCTTCCCGACTGGGGGGGCCCCTCATCCCTCCTCTCCCTTCCCCCGCTTCCCAGGCTGGGGGCCCTCTGTCCCCCCTCTCCCTTCCCCCCTTTCCCCGGACTGGGGGCGCCCTCTGTCCCACCCCTCCCTTCCCCCACTTCCGGGCTGGGGGCCCCCTGTCCCCCTTACCCCCTACTGGGGGCAGGGCGGGGCACTCTGTCCCCCTTTCCCGGCCTGGTGGGGGGCCCCTCTGTCCCCCTTACCCCTTTCGCGGGCTGGGGGAGTCCTCTGTCCCCCCTCCCACTTCCCCCCTTTCCCCGGATTGGGGTGGCCCTGTGTCCCCCATCCCCCTTTCCTGGGCTGGGGGCCCCCTGTCCCACCTCTCTCTCTCCCCTCCCTGGCTCCTCGGTGGGGGCCCTCTGTCCCCCTCTTCCCCCTTTCCCAGTCTGGGGGCCCTCTGTCCCCCCTTTTCCCGGGCTGGGTGGGGCCCCTCTGTCCCCCTTCCCCCTCTTTTTCGGGCTGGGGGCCCTGTGTCCCCCCTTCCCCTTTCCCGGGCCAGGGGCCCCTTTGTCCCCCCTTCCCCGCCTTTCCTGGGCTTGGGGTGCCCCTCTGTCCCCTTCTCTCCCTTGCCTGGCTTGGGGGGCCCTGTCCCCCTTTCCCGCCTTTCATGGGCTGGGGCCCTCTGTCCCCCCCTCTCCCTTCCCCCGCTTCCCGGGCTGTGGGCCCCTCTGTCCCCCTTCCCACCCTTTCCCGCTGGGGAGCCGTCTGTGCCCCTTCCCAGTTGGGAGGGCCCTCTGTCCCCCCCCCCCTTCCTCCGCTCCCCGGCTGGGGGCCCTGTCCCCCCTTCCCCGCCTTTCCCGAGTTTGGGGGCCCTCTGTCCCCCCTTTTCCCATTTCCGGCTGGGGAGGGGCCTCTGTCCCAATTCCCCCTTTCTGGGCTGGGGGAGCCCCTGTCCCCTCCCTTTGCCCTTCCTGGGCTGGGGGCCCCTCTGTCCCCCCTCTCCCTTCCCCCCCCTTTCCCATGCTGGTGCCCTCTGTCCCCCTTCCCCGCCTTTCATGAGCTTATGGAGCCCCTCTGTCCCACTTCCCCTTTCCTGGGCTGGGGGCTCCTGTGTCCCCCTTTCCCTTTGCCCTCTTCCTGAGCATGGGGGCCCTCTGTCCCCCCTTTCCCTTCCCTCTTTCTGGGCTGGGGGCCCTCTCTCACTTCCTGCCGTTTCCCCGGCTGGGTGGGGCCCTGTATCCCAATTACCCCCTTCCCGCAGCGTGGGGGGCCCTGTGTCCCCCGTTTCCTTCACCTCTTTTCCTGGCTGGGGGCCCTCTTGTCCTCCTCTCTCCCTTTCCCCCTTCCCGGGCTGGGAGGGCCCTCTGTCCCCCCTATCCTCGCCGCCTTTCCGGCTGGGGGGTCCTCTGTCCTTCCCCCATTTTTCCGGGCTTGGGGAGCCCTCTGTACCCCTCTCCTTCCCCCTTTCTCAGGCTGGGGGCCCTCTGTCCCCTTCCCCTTTTTTCCGGGCTGGGGGCCCTCTGTCCCCTTCCCCAGGCTGGGTGGTGGAGCCTGTGTCCCCCTTTCCCTTCTCCCCTTTCTCGGGCTGGGGGGCCCTGTGTCTCCCTTCTGCCTTTCCTGGCTGGGAGGGGGCCCCTGTGTCCCCCACTTCTCCCCTTCTGCCGGGGGCCCCACTCCTCTTCCCTTCCTGTGGCTGGGGGCTCTGTCCCCTTCCCCCTTTCTTGGGCTGGGGACAGCCCCATCCCCGTCTCCTTTTCTGGCTGGGGGGCCCTCTGTCCCCCCTCTCCCTTCCCCCACCTTCCCGGCTGTGGGGCCTCTGTCCCCATCTCCCTTCCCCCTTCCCCGGCTGGTGGGGCCCTGTGTCCCCTTCCCACCCTTCCTGGGCTGGGGCCCTCCCTTCTCCCCCTTCCCCCTTTCCCCGGATGGGGGCCTCCCTCGCCCCCTTTCCGGGGCTGGGGGCCCTGTCCCCCCTTCTCCCCTTCCCAGGCTGGGGTTCCTGGGCCCTCTTCCCCTTCCCCCTTTTCCCGCGCTGGGGGGCCCTGTGTCCCCCTCTCCGCCCTTTCCCTTGTGGGGGTGCCTCTGTCCCCCTCTCCCTTCCCCCTTTTCCCAGGCTGGGGAGGCCCTTCTGTCCCCCCTTTCCACCTTTCCCTGGCTGGGGGGAGGCTCTGTGTGCCCCTTCCCCCTCTTTCGTGGGCTGGCAGGGCCTCTGTCTCCTTTACCTGCCCCCCTTTCCCGGGCTGGGGGGGCTGTGTCCCCCCTCTCCTTTCCCCTTTCCCCAGCTGGGGGTCCTGTGTCCCACCTTTTACGGGCTGGGGGGGCCCTGTCATGCCTTCTCCCTTTCCCGGGCTGGGGGACCTGTCCCCCCTTCCCCCTTTTTTGGGCTGGGGGCCCTCTTTTTCCCCTTCCCCCCTTTCCCGGGCTGGGCAGGGCTCTGTGTCACACTCTTCCCCCCTTTCCTGGCTGGGGGCCTCTATTCCCCTTCCCCCGCTTTCCCCGGGCTGGGGGGAGAGGCCCTGTGTCCCC